CAATGGGTCTTCTTCTCCAAACTATCCACCATTGCCAAGTTCCAAGATTTCTCCAAAATACTAAAAAGAAATTAAAGGAAGAAGAAATAAAGAAAAAGAAATTAGAAAATGAAAATAAATGCCCAGAACGCCACTGCTGGGTTTCATTTTTTTTGCCTCAAACAGGGGCTGCTATGTCGTTCACGTCTACCCAGGAAAAAGGGGCTGGAGTGGTTTTTAAATTCAAACCTAATTGGTAAATTGCAGCACAAGCCCTCAACTTTGGAAAGAACAAAAAAAGCGGTCCCTAACCCTTTTTAAAATGCCAAAAGCTGCTACAGGGCGACCCTGCACCACACGTCTCTACCAAAAAAAACTGGTTTAGGTCAGTTTGAAGCCAAAAATTCATATATTGCATGGCAAGTCCTCATCTTTTAGAAAGTGTTAATCTTGGTCCCCCAAACTTTCAAATTTTTGCGTCTTTGGTTCTTTTTGCTTATTTCTCGCGCAAATTCCTCCTAATCATCATTCAAACTCGGGTTTTCACCTACACGATAAAAATAACTAAATTAAGTAATAAATTGCTAATAAAAACTTACAAAAATCTAAATTTAATGATCCGAATAAGTGCAAAAACCTGCACTTATTATAGACTCTTTGNAATTCCTTCTAATCATCATTCAAACTCGAGTTTTCACCTACAAAATAAAAATAACTAAATTAGGTAATAAATTGATAATAAAAACTCACAAATATCTAAATAAATGGTCCGAATAAGTGCAAAAACTCGCACTTATCAGTAACCTTGTTTCAGTTCTAGTCTTGGTCTGTATTTCAAGACCCATACTTCCTTTAGTATTTGCATAGTTATTTTTACTAGTGGGCAAGTCTTTCAACCTGTCCTTCACTGTATAAGATACTTGCTTTCCTAAGTAAGAGGTTTCAAGCATGTCATTCTTTCATTTGACCATCAGTATGGTTTTACCCATTGGGGGCTTTTGAGGGTACTTTTTCTTAAGTTGCTGAAATAACATTTTCGCGTGACAGCTTGATCTCCCTTGATACTAGCTACCCCTTAAGGTATTTTGAATTTCATGCACAATTGATGTATAGATGTTACTATTTCCACACTACAACAAAGTTCACATTTTACGGCATGCATTCTATGTTACTATTAACTCTTTACAGCATACAACAACATGCCGTATAAAGCAATGCAGCAAAAAGTGGATACGGTATCTAGAGAACGCCATTATTACTTCTACAGCTTGTTAAAATGTATGTCGTATATTTAATACCTTTTACAGCATTCAGTGAATGAATGTCGTAAAATGTGATATACTTTTTATGGCGTGCCTCTGAACGTCGTAAAATATATCATGAAATTTACGACTTGCTTAGTAGCACGCCGTAAACATCAATTTAATTTTTT